CGTTGTAAACATTAAAAGGCGGAAAAATGTGCTCTAATATACCAATATACCGGAAAATTAATTTGAATGAATTTCCTTAAAAAATCACACTAGAACTATTCAGCTAATAGACTTCCATTCATCTGAGAAAGATTTCACGAAACGCCCTTAGTGATGTTTTTGTTTTGATCCTCACAGCAAATATATTTGATCAGAGAAAATTGCTTATCGGATAACGACCGATAAAAAGAAATGAAGTAATCTTCAATTGATAAGTTCATCTAATAAAATAAAAAATGTTTTGCCGTGTTGAGTTTTTAATTCATAAAAAATCTTATCTGTTGATTCGTATTATATGCTTTTTTTTATGAAAAAAAAATTCTTGATAAAAATGAGCTCAACAAGTTTTAAATATATTTTCAAATTCATTTGTCGAAATGAATAAAAATCATTATTTAATATATATTTTAATAATAATTTATTTCTGTAAGAAATACTTTATTTTCAAAACAAGTTAATTAATAGCAAAATATATGTAATTCGTTTCAGTAATTCAGAGAAATGCCCTTATTATAATGAATGAAATGAGAAAAAAAAATCGTTAATTTTACACTGTGCAAATTCTTAATTTATGAAAAATCAACAAATTTTTTGTGTAAAATAGATTAAAAATAATTGTAAGAAAAATTATTCTTTTTAAGAGGGTTAGTTTTTAAATAAATATTAATTTGAAAAAAAAATAATGACTTTTACCAGGACGTATATATATATATATGGGTAGTATTAAGATTTTATTATATTTTTTTAGTAATTATCTGTTGTTTTTTTTTTTTTTTTTTACGGGGGAAAAAAATTGAGAAAAATATTATTTTATGAAAATTAATAAAATCTTCTTTTGATTTATTTACACGATGAGTAAGCAATAGAATTATGTATACAAAACTTGACTATATATTCTACTTAATTAAACAAGTTTCTTTTTTCTCCAGGAATCGTTAAATGATGAGAAAAACAAGTATCATGTACAAAAGATTCTGAACTCCAAACGTAAACTTGTTATTAAGGAGTGAATTATTAATAAATATAGTAATACGTAATGTAATTTCAACACAAATTTATAACTGTTGTCTTTTTTTCCCAGTGATTTTATGAATTTCACTTGAACGGAGAAAGAAATAAAATAAATTTTTAACTTAAATTTTTTGAAATAGTTAATTGTATGAATAATCCATAAAATGTACATTAAAATTTAAATATAAAATTTTTTAATTAAAATTGTTTTTTATCCCAATATAAATTGTGTAAAAAAATTATAAGAGCTTTTAATAAGTTACGGAATTGCAGTTATGCGTTAGGAAAGTGTAAGAAGGATTGTTCTCTCTTATCGTTTAAAAGATTTGCCCAGAATTTATGAAAGGCATCAATAAAACTTTCCGGTTATTGAGATTCCGATGAATTATTGATCTGAAAAATATGGCCGGAGAAAAAAATGTCTGGTGTGTGAAATTAAACTGTGGTATATTAATTTGAAGTAAAAAACGCTCGACAAATGCAAAATGGGAATATGAAATCAGAAAATACATAGCCAGAAAAAAATGTCCTGTAAATAAAAGTTGAAGCTATGGTTATGAACGCAATTTTCGATCATTCTATTTCTCAATATTGGCATTAGTTTGTGTTTCCCATATAACAAAATATCGAAAATAATACATTGTAATCAACCAAGCACATACTACATTCAAGCAACTCAATTATTCTTAAATGTTATAATTTGACTCTGTGAATACCGAAATACGTGCTCTCAAACGGCTGTTTTTTGGAGGAAGGGGGACTTGAATTGTTTTTTATATATGCACAAACCTGCAGAAAATAGAAATTATTAGTTTTTTTTCCCCTGTAAAAGTACAGTGGAACCATTTAATAGTTTTATGGAATGAAAATAAACCTGCTTTTTGTATTAATTTCATCACAAGTATGTACAGGAAAAATTACTTGTTTATATATTTTTCCAAATTAATTTTTGTTTTAAAATAATGAATTAGATATCACTTTTCAATTGCCTTTTATTAAAAATACAATATTTTAAAAAACGTTCATCGATGATTATTTGTTCCAATATTTTGACTCACGTTGGCATGGTGTGAAAGTTTGGAGAGTGACGGGCCAGCTCAGGTGTCATCCTCATCACTTGACTAAGGTCCAAAATTATGAGTTCCATCGCCAATAGCTCTTGCGTTGCTTCAGAGTGGGACCAAATGCATAGCTGCCGCCGTATCAGTGATACGGGGCCCCCAAAATGTGTAACATTCTGACACTTTGATTTAGTGTCTTTTGTTTCTTTTTCAACAAAGGGCCCCCAAGGAATTTTGATACAGGGCCTAGGGATGGCGATCTGAGATCGATTAATCGAAAAATAGATTTCTCGGGCCCCCAAAAATCGATTTTTTAAATCGATATGTAGCACTGAATCGATTCAGTTAATCGATACTTCATCCTAGAAAATCGACATTCGATTTTTTTTCTTTTCCGTTTTGATAAAAACCATAAAAAACGAAGAGTTTAAACACCATTTAGCGCAGATAGTTGTGCACCTGAAGTATGATCCTATGCTTTACTGCAAGAACAGAAAAACTTTATCATCACGCTCACTCAGTGGCGCACACAAGGGGGGGCCTGGACTCCCCCTCCCAAAGCCCTTGATTTTTTTCCGATTGGTTATAATTCTAAGTATATAATACGTAAAATTTAATTAAATATTTGTTATTAATGATTAATTTTATTAATTAATGCTAATTTTTTATTCAATAATTAGTTTTTTACTGTGTTTTGTTCCTGAAAATTGACAAAATCAAAAATAGCATGATACAAGAATGGTGAACTTTCAACCCCGCCCCCCGAAAAATTCCTGTGTGCGCTACTGCGTTCACTCAATAGCCATGGTGTATATGAGTATCGTGGGATAATCTGTTCCTTGTGAGCGCTTTTTTTTTCAATTGCTGGTAACATCGCAAGTGATGAGCGGAACCGCTTGAATCCCAGTAGACTTGAGAAACTGTTGTTTTTAAAAAGTTTAGATATTAAGCATCGGGAACTATATAAGCTATATAATCTATTTTCTAAACTTTTTAATGTAACAAATACATTTAGAAAATAAATGTCTTCTTTTACACCTGGTACTTTGATATGGCAATAGAAATAATTGTAATGTCGAATTCCCTGAACTAAAAACTCTCCTAATTTTACTGATGAGAGATAGTTTATTATGGTATTTTTCTTGTTTTTCATAAAATGGATTTATATTTATATTGTGTAAATGCAGACTTGAAAAAAAAATCGACTTTTTAGAAATCCATCTTTTAGAAATCGATATTTTAGACCTCGATTTTCTTGTGTGAATCGATTCATCAAGATACGATTCGAATCGATTTAAAAAGCGATCTTTTTCGGAAAGAATCGCAATCCCTAACAGGGCCCACTGAGGATTAGCGACGCCAGAGAGTATGACGTTAGTAAAAAATCTAATTAAATCAACATTTTGACCACATCTACTTGGCGGCAGAGTTGCGAACTTTATATACCTAGTATGTGTTGTGAGTTTCCTTCTCCTAGTTTATCGTTTTTCCCTTCCTAACTCATTAAGGCTCTTCAAGTTGAACGCTGTGGTAACGTGGAGAGTATTATATAAGCTCAAACATTATTCTTGTCTCTCAAATGTGTTTCAAAATAAACGGCCCGACTCTTTTGCCTTATTATCCAAGTCCAGGGTGACAGAAAATTAAACGTACCAAAATATATTTACCATTTTTTTAAGAATATTTCGTATCCCATTGCGTAAGATATTAATTCGAAGCCGAGATAACAAGAGAATATACTCTTATGGGCCTTTGCCGTACGTTTTCTTTTTAAATATCTCTCATTATTTCTTATGGCGATAACTTAATTTTTTTTAGAAAATTTATTTTACTATTAGATTTTTATTGGGTTTTTTTTTATGAAATCATATCGTATTTTTAAAAAAATGAGTTGGATTTTAATATTGATTTAGGGTGTTTTTTTAATTGGTAATTCCTCCCTCCCCCTCCGTTTTTTGGACAGAGAAAAGATTTCGCGTAATAATTATCAAAGAAATGCGTTTGGAATATTAAAAGGTCTCAAAACATATTTTTGAAATTTTATGTACAGTAATATCTCGCGCGCGCGACTTATACTACCCCGACTTGACGCTAATCCGGAGTAGCGCGATTTTAAAACCTCGTCATTCTTTTTTTTTTTTTTTTACAACTCTGAAATTGAGGCGAAATCAGTGCCAAAGAGTGATGAAATAGGTAATGTGTGTGTGTGTGATTGAAGTTGTCGATCTTGTCAAGCAAATAAATTTAAAAGCGAATAGTGATGACGTTCAAGAACTGAAGGAATCCCACGAACAGGAACTGAGACAATTGATGAGTGCGTAGAATTGCAAGAGCAAAGAGAGCATTAAAGAACTTGAATCTTTTCAATCAGAAGATCAAATGACATTTGGTAATTTGACAGAAGGTTTCAGTTTAATTAAAAAGGGGATTTACAAATTTCAGAAAATACAGATTCCAACGAAGAGCGTACTTATTCAACAAAACAGGGAATAAAAAAATTATTAACATTTTACGAGGAATTTTGCGGGATAAAAAAAATGACTTTGAACCGCCAGACTACTTTGTTAGATTTTACGTATGCAACTTCTTCATAAAAAGAAATATAAAAACAGATTTAAGCCAATTCCTACTTAGGTCTACAAAGAAAAATTTTATATTTTAGTTACTTTTTATTTAATAGTTATAATTAATATAAATATGTATATTCATATGACAGAATCGCAATATTAAGGGGCAAAATAGAAAGCGATTTTTCTTGCAACTTTTCATTTTTCCTTCCTAGAAATGGTGTTGGACTATTTTTTTGTTACTATTTATTCATTAATTAAATTTAATTATTCTAATAAAATAGTATAGTAAAAAAAAGAATCACATTCTCAGAAATTAGGCCACCCCAGGTGAGATTCGAACTCACGATTTTTGAATTTGAAGTCCAACGCGCTAACCATTGCGCTGCAGGGATACAACGAACGACTTTACTTTCTATACATGCTGTTAGACTATTATTTTTGTTTGTTACTAATTATTCGTTTTTTTTATTTTATTAATGAATTAATATTTGAAAAAACTATATTAACATCAAGTGTTATCCACTACAAGTTTTAAAAAATGTATTTGAACTTGAATGGATGAATAGAAAGTATTTTTATTAAAGATTGAAAATTTGAACTATTTATATATATATATATATATATAAAGGGAGAGAGTGAACTAATAGTAGGAATATTGAAAAAATAACTTCGGCTTGCGATTTTGTTCTTGAGTTATCTAAAATTTTCTTAAACCTTATTTCCAAAATTATTATTTTCTTTCGTCTCCAGCCCTAACTAAAAATAATTTATATGTATTTATATGTGAAACCATACTTCGACTTACGCGGTTATTACTCAGTCCCACCTATCACGCAGGTTCGAGGTCTTTCTGCATCTTGTTAGTTTTAATTTGTACGAATTTTCAATGTTTTATTTAAATTTTTGTTAAAATTGTGCATTTATGACAACAGAATGTAGTCATAAATCAAAAGAAAGCTTCCTTTTCTAAAGGAATAATTTTAAAATAAAAGTTCTATCCCGAAAAACTCATAGTGAAGGATTGTGATGAAATGAATGAAATATATTTTCCTTTGTTTTTGGTGCAATTGTTTCCATGTATCCTTGAAAATAGATTGATCTCACTCAATAAATGCTAAAAGAGAAATCATATGGAATTTCTTTTTAGTATATTATTTAGCTAAGATTTTGAAAATTTTCTACAAATTAAAATAATTTTGCTAATGGCTTAAAATATTAATTTTAGTCTAATTTCTGCTTCATCTGATGAACTAAATGGCGCTCCATAATTAATGAAAATACGCAATACTAATACAATTTCTTTATTTTTATTTTATTTATTTTTTACATTAAAATGCTTTTTTTTAACATGCCATTTTGATAAAAGGGAAAAAATCGAAATTAAATTCTAGCAAAAATTTTACGGTACGATATGTGGGAATTAGAAATATATTATGGGATTATAAAAGCTTTACTTCATAATAGGAGGGAAAAAAACACTTTCTTTAGGTATTTCAAAGAAAATAAAATTTTAAAAAAATTTAATACTTCAATGAAAACAAATAACAAAAAAAAAATCTTTAAGTACCTTTCAACGATTGTTTTGTTTCTTATCTCTAACACTTTTTTTTCTTTCTATTTTGACTGAGGCATTCTATTTTTTATCTAAATACTTTTTATTTTGGTCTTACCAAATAATGAAAAGGAAAAAAAAAAGGATTAATAATATAACTAAGAAGATAAAAGGCTATTGTTCATCAGATAGCGTGTTATTTTCTAATTTTTTAAAATACGCGGAAGTTGAACACAATGCTTCCACAAAATTATTGAAAGTGAAAATATAATTTACTAAAAAATGTTGCTAAAATTAAGTCAGTTAACAATGATATATCTATAATCGACAAAATCCATTGAAACATGCAATACATTATCAATAAATGTGGAGGTATACCGAAATAATGTTTAATGGTTTCTATTTTGGAAAATTAGTTCTGAAATTGATAAATTCATAATTAAGATAATAAAGAGTTAACAGATGTTATTTCCTTTCATTTTGCTTCTCTATAAACTGTGTGTGTGTCTATTGGATACACAATCTATACTTATTATAGAATCATTTTTATTAACTTTAGGATTGACAACTATGAAATATTTCTGTATTTTGCATTAATTATGGTTTGCATTTCTTCTTTGATTCTTTGAATGTGTTCTGGCACAAACTTGAAAAAACTACTATTAACATCTGATACAAATCTATTCCTGAACATTTTTATTCCTTTATGTTCCAAATTTATTCATATACTGATTGGCTGCAATTAGTTCACTCTCTCCCTATATATATACATATATATTATATTTTACAAATTTTCAATCGTTAATAAAATACTTTCTATTCATCCATTCAAAGTCAAATATTTTTTAAAACTTGTAGTGGAGGACATTTTATGTGTAATATAATTTTTTTTTCAAATATTAATTCATTAATTAAATTTTATTTTTTTAATTTTAAATTTATTCTGCGTTATTTCTGTCGTAGTTACAACTAGTTGCTACAGAAAGCGCCAGTACGTTTTTCTAAAGTAGGAACTGACGGTAAAAAAAAATAAATTTTTTTTTATTATTTGTTTAATGCCAATACCATTTTTGAAAATATAATGGCAAATTAGATATAGACAGAGAACACTCATTGAATTTCTTATCGTGAAGTTTGCTCTAATTTTTGCTTTGACCTGATGTAACTTTATCGTCGCATTACACTTGCTTTGCTTTAAAAGCGCACTTATTAGTGCGTATAACAGGTATTTTTAAATTTCCTTGAAAAGAGATATATTTTCTTGTTCTTTACGATTACCATACTTCCCTGGTTAATTGATCGTTCAATTACGTTGCACATCGTAGAAACACGAGGCTGGTGGTGACGGATCCTATACTTCGAACCACGGTCAAGTGACGGCCCCTTAGATGGCACTCCACTCTCCAATTTTCTACACCACACCAACGTGAAGACTTAGGGCAGGGATGGCGAACCTTTATGGATCAACGTGCCATTTTTTTAAAGAAAGGTGTTTAATGAGGCACAGACGTGCCGTCAAATAATTTTGACGTGATTATTGGGAAAATAATAAAACTATAAATACTAACAACACAAAACTCTATTTACTACGAAAAAATACCTTTTGCATTGTATAGTTATAAATGTTTTAGTTATATATGTTTAATTCACATTAAAATAACATCAGTGTGACTTCTATTGTTGCAGATTGTGTGTGGATGACAAATATCTTATATTAGGTTTGTAAGATGTTACTTTTTGTAGAATACATGCTGAATTTGAGTCGTCTGCCAAACGGTTTCTAAGCAATTAATTATTTTTACTGTGGTTCGCTCTTTTTGACAAGAGAGTTTATGGTTTGTTTCAAAATACCATTTTACAGACGTTCTGCATACCACACTATTCCAGAACATAAAAACACACACCACTTTGTCACCTTTACCAATCATGCCATGTTTCTCGGTCCACCAACTTTGAAAGTCTCTGTTACACTTACTATCTTGCCCTTTTTGTTCATTTGCTGAACTAGCCATGTTAAATAACAGTTAAAAATCGTAAATATAACACAGATAAACTTTAAAATACAGTTGTGTTAATGAAATTGACTATGCAATGCGTAGACAAATTTTACATCATAAGCAATTATAGTCTTACAACGTAACTAAGGCAACGAGTGTGCTCCCTGTGACCACTTACTCGCTGTTGTTTGTAATACTTCATGAAACTTTGAAATTTTGAAATAAAATGCGAACCATTTTGATCACCGGCGTGCCAAAAATATTGTGTCGCGTGCCACTGGTTCGCCATCCCTGACTTAGGGCACCAACCAGTTTAAAGTGCAGTAGCCCCTTTACAATTCAGATATTTAAGGGAACCAGGATATGCTCGAAAGATTAAAATACGAAAATTAAGCCTCTTTGTTTATGGGACATATATCTTTAAAAATTTCCAATAGAGCTTAGATTCTTTATTTGTGATCTTAAAAAAGATATTTTAATCCTTCTGTAGAAGTACAAAAATAATTTTTCCGTTCAAAGAAAAAATTTTTTTCTTCTGTTTAATTTAAGTTGGACATAATTTTTAAAATCTCATAATACATACTTATGTTTAGGTATCATTTTTTAAAAAAGTGTCTCTTAAATACGTAAAATATTTTTTGCACATATATAAAATAATACATAAAACAGTGAACCTGATTTTTAATAAAATATTAAGATAGTTTCTTTAAAAACATTATAAAACTTCGTAATTTTGAAAATTTTTATTCTCCCCCCCCCCTCCTCCGTTTTCATACATAAAACTATTTTTTAAAAGAACTATGTACTGCTAAAACTTAAAAAAAGATAGGTTCGCTATATTCACATATATTGCGTATAGAAGTATAAAAATTTTGAATCACATACTATACTGCAATAGCTATTTTTAAAAGTGTACCTAAAATCAAAAAATTATACTTTGGAGAAAAAGTGAAAAAACTAAAAGTAGCAATGTTTCCACATACATCATACTATTGACTAATATTTTCCTGTCTGTTTTTATATACCTCATAATGATACTTTAAGCATTCTCTCGAATTACAAAAATAATTTTAAATTTTTTTTCCTTTGTTATAGCTGAACTTGAACATAATTTTATAAAACATATTTTCATTTAGGTACAATTTTTTATAAAATTATTTCTTGAATGTACAAAATATTTTACATATATATGTATATAAAACAATGAACAAAATGTACTCAAATAGTTTTTTGATAAAATTATTATATAATTTATCTGAAAAAACCGTAAAACTTTTTAAGTTTTAGAAATCTAGAATTTTTTTTTTCTTATTATTTTTGTTAACATATTTTTTAATTTAATTTCTAAATTTATATTTGAAAAAATGTATATTAACATCAAATGTCACCCACTACAAGTTAAAAATAAAAGCAATGTCTATATATTATGCTTCATTATTAATTGCCATCCTTATTTTCTATGCCTTTTATGATACTTCAAGCATTCTCAAAAGTTACAAAAGTAATTTTAATTTCAAAGTATTTTTCCATTGTTTTACTGATTATAATGTAATTTTATATTACATTTTTTCATTTACATACCACTTATAAAAATATTTCTTGAATATGAAATTCATTTTACACACACATGTAAAATAATGAACGTAACATAATTATTATATTATTTTTGAAAAATATAATAAAACTGATGATTTAATTTTTTTAAAAAAAAAGGTTGTGTTTAAAATATTAAGAAAAATAAAATAGACACTTTTATCAATTTCATTTGTCATGTTTTACGTTTATTTTATCAATGCACATATGAGTGTTAGCATTTTTTGTTCTGAAAAATACTCAATATTTC